GCAGGGAAGACTTCTGTACTTGGACTGTTACCACCATTGTCTGACTGTACTTGAAAGGCAAAGTTTTGGCTCTTCATAGGAAGTGCCACAGTTACATTTACAGTGCCATGAGATTGAGGTGTCATTAGAGGAGGTTTTGGAACAAATTGATAAATAAGACAATACTAAGTCACTAGGACCAGATGTTATTCACCCAAGAGTTCTGAAGGAACTCATATGTGAAATTGCAGAACTACTGACTGTAGTCTATAACCTATCATTTAAATCAGCTTCTGTACAAAATGTCTGGAAGATAACTAATGTGATGCCAATTTTTGAAAAGGTGATCCCTGCAGTTACAGGCTGTTAAGTTTGACTTCAGTACCAGGAAAACTGGTAAAAACTATAGTAAAGAATAAAACTGTCAGCTGAACATAAAGTTGAACATAATTGTTGGGGAAGAATCAAAATAGTTTTTGTAAAAGGAATCATGCTTCACCAATCTACTAGAATTCTTTGAGGGTGTCAACAAGCATTGTGGAAAAGGAGAATCCAGTGGTTATAGTGTACTTAGATTTCCAGAAAGCCTTTGACAAGGTCCCTAATTAAAGTAATCTGTCATGGGATAAGAGGGAAGTTCCCCTCATGGATCAGTGACTGGTTAAAAGATAGGAAACAAAAGGTCAGTATAAAAGGTCATTTTTCAGAATGGAGAGAGCTAAATAGTGGTTTCCCCTTGGGGTCTTTACTGGGACCAGTGCTGCTCACCATATTCATAAATTATCTGAAAAAGAGGTAAGCAGTGATGTGGAAAAATTTGCAGATGATACAAAACTGCTCAAGATAGTTAAGTCCTGAGCAGTCTGCAAAGAGCTACAAAAGGGGCTTCTCAAAACTAAATGACTGCGCATCAAAATGGCAGATGAAATGTAATGTTGATAAATACAGAGTAATGCTCATTGGAAAACATAATCCCGACTATACATATAAAATTATCTAAATTAGCTGTTATCACTCAAGAAAGAAATCTTGGAGTCATTGTGGATAGTTCGCTGAAAACATCCACTCAATGTGCAATGACAGTCAAAAAAGCAAACAAAATATTGGAAATCATCAAGGAAGGGATCAATAATAAGACAGAAAATATCATATTGCCTCTATATAAATCCATGGTATGTCCACATCTTGAAAACTGTTTGGAGATGTAGTCACTCCATCTCAAAAAAGATATATTGAAATTGGAAAAGGTTCAGTGATTGGGGTATAGTACAGCTTCTGTATGAGAAGAAATTAATAAAATTGGGACTTTACAGAAGTCTTGACTGGTAAAGGGAAAATAGATAAGGAAGTGCTCATAATGCAAGAATTAGGGCTCCCCAAATGAAGTTAATAGGCATCAAGCTTAAAACAAACAAATTAATTTCTTCACATGACTCACAGTCAACTTGTGGAACTCTTTTTGTCAGATGATGTTGTGAAGGCAGACTAACAGGATTCAAAAAAGAACTACATCAATTAATGTAGGATAGATCCATCGATGGCTATTATCCAGGATGGACAGGGATGGTGTCCCTAGCATCTGTTTGCCAGAAACTGGGAATGAGCAAAAAAGAATGGCTCACTTGATGATTAATTCCCTCTGGAGCACCTGGCATTGGCCACTGCCAGAAAATTGATAGATGTTTGGTTTGACCCAGAATGACTATATTTATGTTTTATGTTCACGGGGAGATGCCACTGATACAGGGCAACCACATGGACAGTGAGAAGATTAATTGTTCTTCTCTCTCACTTCTCAGGGACACAAGAGGAAAAACTGGAAGGTGAGGCGCTTTGTTCTGAGGGCTGACCCTGCTTTCCTGCACTACTATGATCCAACAAAGGTGAGCAATGAGCTGCTGACCACAGACTCCAGATCTATGTATATGTCTCTTATAAATTTGTAACAGTAGTAAAGTAAACTACATAGGAAATGGGGCTCTAGGATTACCCTCTTCATTTCCTCTCCATGGCCATGCATGCCTTGAATTCCTCCACTTATGCCTTTGGGGCCTCTGAGGAGTTTCCTGGGGGCCACATCCCTTGTTCATTTTTTTACTCCATTTTCCCTCATGCCTTAGGTCTTTTGGGATTCCTTTGTCTGCCTCCAGTACAATATCCCCTCTGCAATTCCTCTTTCACACACCTTGTTCTGGGGCTGTGCCTCTTCTGGCGTTCTTCTTGTTCCCAGGACTGCATTCTCTCTGGGCTGACTCCTTCCCATCTTCAAGCTGCATCACCTCTGTGATTTTTCCACTCTTTTGTCCTCCTTATTGTAACCTTGAACAGGGCCTGATCACAGAGCACTAATGGGAATTTCTGCTACTCAGTTCTAAATGTGTATAATGAATAGCAGAGCTTATGTCTGTGGATAAACAATACTCCAAGTGAATTATGATGCAATGAAGCCCAGTGCAATACAAAATGGCATGTGACTAGAAATATTTTAGCAATATTTAAAGAGACCAGAAAACAAACTTTTGATTGAAACCCTCCCCTGAAATGCTAGAAACCAAAACCTCATCACAGCTCTGGGATAGCACAAGAGATTCTGGAAGCAAAACTCATCAAGTCTCACTGTCCTGACTGAGTGAAGAATATAAAAGGAACACATAGCATCAATAGGAAATATTTTTAATAGTTGTGAGCTGTTGGTAAAAGAGTATTGGTTTTAAATATGATTGTTATGCTAACTCTGTCCCTTTAAGTAATTAACCTCCCACTACTAAACTAAGGAAAACAGATGTAGATGAGAAAGGCAATGTAGTGATGCAACTAAGCCTAATTTTCCTCTCTCTCTGAAGGAAGAAAACAGACCAGTCGGTGGGTTTTCTCTCCGTGGCTGCCTTGTCTCAGCTCTGGAAGATAATGGAGTCCCATCTGGTAAGCATGAACCTCTAGGCTACCTGCTTTGATTACTGAGGGCTGATCTACTTCCAAATTTTCATTGAAATAATTGAATCAGTTTAATTCATGCCTTTTGTTATTGTGGTGCAAATCTGTGAGTAGACCAGTTATGATGCTCCCGTGGGAAAAGGGATAAGGGACTGAAGATACCTGTCCGAATACCATTGAGCTGATTGCGGGGAACTGTTT